TGTGGTAACTTTTATGAGGGTTCGTTTGGTGAGACATAGCTTGCCCAACAAAAGGACCCACATGGGGTTCTAGTTGTTCGAAAAGTTATGGTCACCTAGTGAGAGGACCCACAAAATGTTTTATTCACTTAGTGAGCTTTTGGTTGATCAACGATGAGCTCCAAAGGAGATTGGTCACTCAACAAGCCGGAATGTGCTCAACAAGAAAAGTTACAAAGAGTATTTCTCATTGAGCAAGAGTAGCTTGCTCGACGACAAGCTCTAGAGAGTTTTAGTCGTTCAACAAAGCTATCCCTCGCCCAACGAGAGCTATATTTTTGCGAAGCTTATATATTATGTTCTTTCACATATTTTATTGATATAAGCTTATGGTAATTGAACCTAGTTCATTGTATGTTGATATATAATTATATATTATGTCAATTTATGTTGTTTAAGTTGAAAGTAATATGTTGTATGAAGTTGAAGATGTAAGTTGTATGTTAGAAGTTGTTAAGTTGTGATAAACATATGATACATGTCTTTAAAGTTGAAAAGTCTTCAGTGAGTAAATTGTCTCCTAATTAGGAAGTTGTTTTTAAAGATTTCTCCTTTAGATTTTTAAGTTGAAACAATATGATAGAGGTCGAACCATACTTGTCATAAGTAGCCAACGAGTAAGGTACAAAGTTCGAGGTCAAAATCCCTAATCGAGTATTGGAAAGGTGCATGGCATTTGGAAGATGGTCATCAAGCTAATTCCACACATTCTTAGTTATGCATGCTAAGGTTATGGTAGAATCATATCCAAGTTGTTTTATTCTTGAAAGTAGTACTAAACTTTCCTAATGTAAGTGACAAAATATGAGAAACCAATTTTGGTCACCATGCCAACCGTTGTGTTTGGTCACTATGCTAGTTGTTGTTTTCTAGTCACCATGCAAGTTGTTGTTATTTCTAGTCGCCATGCAAGCTATTGTGATTTGGTAAGGTCAAGTCATTTACTTTTCTCACTAATTTGTAGGAGATCTCCAAAAGTTGATAAATGTGACAATGCATCAATTATTCAGTTAATTATCGTTGTTTCAAGTTGTTCAATTGTCTAATTGATTTATGTTGTAAATGTTGTTAAAGTTGTTGTTATGCTTTTAAGTTGTAAAGCTAATTTGTTGCTAAAGTTGTATATGTCATTTGAAGTTATTCACTTCTTATATATGATGATATGATGTTTTCTTTCATAAGTTTACCCTTTTTTTTCAATGTTGTTTGACTCTTAAAATCATACTTATAGTCTTTTGTTGAATTGTTCTAATACAACATGTTTATAGAGATATTTGATTGATGCTAGAGTGTTATATTTTTAGTACTTATTTATTAGATGTATATATGTATAGGGTTTGTTTTATTCTCATAAAGAGATTTATGTTTTTAATTCAAAATTGACAGACTATTTTATGTTTTTTTATATCATATACATATATTTGTTACATGGCTATTCAGATAGTATTTGCATGATAACTTTAGGTTAGTAGATTTCTCATGTTTTTTGTTGCGTAATAGTTATTCTACTAAGTGTAGTAATTTGTTAGATAGTTACAATAACCAATTATTTAACACTATAATAGCAAAAATTGAAACCAAATTTCTTCACATAAGTAGGTTCAGGAAGGGATTGAAATCAGGGGCAATCTCAGCTTGCTTTGAGGATGTGCAAATGCACCTCTTCTTCACTTTGAAAAAAATTATAAATATGTATTTATAATTTTTGTATTTTGTCCCCCTATTTTATATATCTGATCTCACTAACTCTAATTTGTCATTCCATTATCAAGTATAGTCTTTCACCAACTAATATTTTTCTTACTTTTCGTTCTATTTTCAGCTCTCTAAGCATATGTGCTCAATTCAATTGGACATTATATTTCACCTATCATTTTATTTCTTTCCATGATAATAAATTTTATTATTTTTACTTTTAAAAAATGTTTCTTCCACTTAAATCAAGATCCTAGATCTGCCACTGACTTAAAATATAACTTAAATATGAGAAGAGAAATACTAGTTACAAAAATTCTAATATATATTTTAAAAAATTATTAAAAATCTTTATAATTTGTGTTACAGGTTATTTAATAAATTTCTTTCATAATTTATAACTTTTAATAAATTTTAAGTAACTATAAAGAATATGTATTACTAACACTCATCATTAGTTTATTCGTACATATAAAAAAAAGTCAGAAAAGGAGTTGTCTAAATTAAAATTACACTATGCTATTTATAAAATGACCAAACTTTAATCGAGAAAATTTTCATTTTAACTTATTTTCAGTCAAAATCGTTCCGTTTTTTCAGTCAACAATCATTCCCTTCCCTATTCTTTCGAAAGCAATGAAGAACACCATTGATTTGAGACTACATATTTTAATTTCATTCAACAAATGGAAATTGGAAAGTGGTTTCGGTCCAATTTCGTCAACGAAAAAATTGCAACCAAATCTAAGCCCAGCCCAAAATTGCGAGTAATTGGGCTCAAAGAGAAAAAAGCCCAAAACCGCAACGTTCATAGCCAGGGAGTTGAAGCTTGAAAGTTTGAACAAACGGTAGAAGTAGAACTGTCTTCCTATTATGAGGGAGATTTGTTACGGTAAGTAATAACTAACAATTAACAAATCTAAAATAGTTGAATTTTTAAAACCACGTGGATCGTCATTAATTTTCCATAATCGGAAATTGTCACCTTTTCTATTCCTAATTTTAAAATAATAAAAAAAAGATTATTTGTTATAGTTGTTTCTTATAAACTACTTGAGGTATCATGGTAATGTGGGTGCCAGGATTTCTGCAGGATGTTATTCTCGTCAAAATCGATACAATAATGATGCTTTAGACCACGTTGGATTCAGATTTAAGGTGCGTGGAACACTTCTCAATTTGGAAATTGAAATATACGATTTGATTTCGATTTTGAATTTTCTGTCTGATTGTTTCTCCCGTGGTTTTTTGATTCCGTTTCTAATCATGAATTCAAGAATGCAAGGAAATGAATGTGATACTTGTATGCAATCAATTAGGTGAGTAGGGGTCAATGGATGGTGACTGGAGTGTGATAATAGAAAGATTTTAACTATGAAAAAAAAAAATTATATATCTGAAAGTGGTAACATGTTGATTATAATTCTAAAACTTTACTGTGTATATAACTTAATTCCCAAGTTTGATAAACTAATCATTATTTGTCAATTTAGTCTTTAAATCTATCGAGTGCAAGACAATTTAGTCTCTAAATTTACTATATATTGGAAAGATCGATTTATTACAAGTTAACAAATTCAGAAATTACATACTTTTAAAGCTAAATTGACAGTGACACAAGTTATTATTTACGTTGATAAATTGTCTATTAACTGTTCATTTTTCAATCATTATTGCTAGGCTGAAAGTGAAAAACCACTCTCACCAAACTTGCATGCTACACGAGTGGCCAAACTTTGTGTGGCGTAGGAGTATGAATGAGTTGTACTCCACTTTAAACATTCCTAAATGTTGGTTTTTGATGGAGTACTGTAAGGTAGATTGATGCACGTAGCGAAACTACCCATTGAGGGTGTTTGCAGTTGTAAATGGGTAATAATTTCTATAACAAAGAAGAAAAGAGAAGAAAAATATATGAGCGATAAGATTAGTAACGTGACGGAGATACACAGATATTGCTGCAAAAATATCATTATTATCAGTCTTATATATGAGAAAAGAAATATCAAACTTTTTAAGCTCTCATGGGGTGCTCTCATTTAGAGCTCCATTCTTAGCAGGATGCCTTTTTTTCCTTTTTGTTTCCTCACAAAGATTTCACTTGATTGGTTGTATTATTCCCTTTGTTATTATCTTCACGGGTTTTCTTGTCATAAAAGAAACCATGTCACTTTCTTAACCGTTGTTCTATTCTATATCTCGTATTGGTAAGTTTCTTAAAAGTGATAGTAGCTTCTGCAGTGCACAGATAGTTTCTTGTCTATTCCTTGAGTCAAAAATATGGCCATTCCTTTTATTGTGCATTTTACCCTAATTCTTCGTGCTCGTGGTTTTGTGGTACTGGCAACACTTTCCAGATGATAGCAATTTGTCCACCGTGATGAATGGGCCTAAGATTTGCCTATGTGTGATTCTTGTACACAAATATTATAATTTGGTCAGTTAAAATGAATATATGCCGTGCCAAAAATGATGATCGTATGTTACTTTCACTGGCGGAATATCATTGAGGCAGAGGATTCAGCTCCCCCCCACCCCCCTACTTATAACCTTTTCTTTTATATTTTTTTTAATTTTCTTTTCACTTTCTAATGGAATTATCAACTCAAGCAAGGTTTGGAAATTTATCAATTTGATTGGTTGCCATGAAAGCATAGACTTAACTACACATTCGACCACTTTGTTTTGTTCATCTATACTCTGTATAAGCTTCCTGACTGAGATGGTAAATATAGCCGGAAAATTATCTTTTTATGGGTGACCTAAAATCGATAACCAACACCCAATGCCAATAACAAAAAATTGCTACTAGCGGAGTTTAAATCCATTAGCAATGGAAATGGCGTTTTGTGGTTGATTAACTAAGGGGAAAAGTTCAGCAGTACATTTTACTTTTTCCATGTATGGAATTCAACTTTACAGTATTAATATTGTTTTGTACGACAGAGATAAAAAAAGGCAGAAAATAAGTATAAAATAAGGCACGATGAATTAGATAAAAATATTTTATGGATAACTCTTGATTTATATAATTTAATTCACTGTTTTTTCACTGATTGATTTATACCACTAGCCATGTTAACCACGTATTTTTAACAGCCTCATGTTCTGCAACAGTTTTTTTTTCTCTTGTATCTGATTCTGAATTCAGCTTCCTTATCAATTCCTTGGATTTCTACGAAAGAAAGAATTGCAAGCATATATACATTTCATATAATAGTTAACTTACGAGCACTATGAGAGGGTCAACAAAGTTAGAATAAATGGATTAGGTAAATAGTTCCTTTTATAGTTGAAAACAAATATGAATGGGATAAGGCATTTGATTGTATATACACTCACAAGAACAATCAATCAGATAGAATGATTAACAAACCTCACAGTCACAACCAGAACAATGAAAAACTTAGGCTTCCTATTGATGTAATTTTTGGAATCCTCTTGAACCTCTAGACTGGTAAAGCTCCAACCTACCCTTGGATTCTTGCAACAATGCCTCGAGTGTTTCATCCTGCGTCACGTTAGGTTGCTTGGAAGCCCATTCAAGCACGCCAAGCACCTCAGCCCGAGCAAGTTCCTCACTGTCTGGCACATGCAATGCAATGTAGGAGAGCAAAACCAATGCTGAAATCTGAACTGTCTGTTCTCCAAGGTACACAAGCTGGACCAAGTGCTTTGCACCACCTGCACTTATAATTGCCTTGGAGTGATCAAGGTGGAGGTAGTTGTCCGAGCAGGCAAATTTTGTGAGAGAGATAGCAGCTTCTCGTGATACTTCTGCCTCTCTTTCATCTAGAAGCCTCACCAAGGGACCAATTATCCTTGTCTCTGTTGCCCTGAATGTCCTTGCCAAGTTCCCAATAGCCTTTATGCAAGGAATCAGGAGTTTGGTATCTTCCTTCTCTATGATCTTAAGCACTTGATCCACAACAGCTTTGCAAGCAGGAGAGTTTGGCTTGAATGCTGATCTTCTCAATTCTGCATCTTTCTCTGCCACTGCTGTAATCTCCTTCACTGCCAAGGCAGAATTGTACTTCACATCCTCACTCCCTTTCTCAAGGAGAATGGCAAAGCACAACAGAGCCCGCGACTCTGTTATGCTTCGACAAATGGCGGGGTTGCCCTTGGCTAGCTGCCGGAGGGCTTTCGCCGCCATGGCTTTCATGTAAGCCTTGTTCTCAGGGTCTTCAAGCTCCCTTCCCTTCATGTTAATCCCCGAATAGGAATAGCTTTGTTGATGGCTTTGTTTGCCATTGGCAACGGCATTACTATTGCCATTGGCCTTGGGCGGAGTAGTACCCTGTGGCTGAGAGTTCTGCGTTGCTTCACTCACTTGATTGGGTTGTGCCTGTTGCTGCTTGGTGGCAGCATGCATTGCCATGGTACTTGTGACGACTCTATGCATCTGATTAGTGGACCTATCGCCCAAGGGATGCTGCATCCTACTCTGTACCTGCTTATCCTCATCTTCACTCTCCCTTCTCACATTAGAATTATGATTATAATTATAATTATAATTATTATTATTATTATTACTATTGCTAGCCATAACAACAGCATGGATTGATGTGGGTTTGTTGCTGACAATGGCGTATTTACTATGCTCTTGAACGGTTTCAAAAGCGAGATGACTCACAAGCAAGCGAACAATATTATGCTGAAGAAAAAGATCTTGGCATTTAGGGTACTTAGCTGCTAACTCAGCGACGGCCCAGGCAACCACAGCTTGAACTTTCATGGGCCCTTCTTTGAGGACTTTGGCGAAGGCAGAGCAAACGCCGGCGTGGATCATGATCTCGACGCTCTCAGGGTCACGGCCCAGAAGCCCAATAGCCCTGGCGGCGTTCTCTTGGCCCTCTTTTTTACCCTCCTTGATGAGCTTGAGCAAGGGCCCAACACCGCCCTCCTCGATGATGAGCTTCCCGTAGCGGTCGTTGTCACGCGCGAGCGACACGAGCGAGGCGGCGGCGTCGGATCGGTCGTCGAGGGAGCCCGTGTGGAGCGTCGCCACCTGCTCCCAAATGAGGCCCAAGATGGGCTCGTTGGCGGCGATGGGCGGCAGGCCCAGGTACTCGTCGCCGCGGTCCTCCGCCGGGACGGAGACGCGGAGCAGCCACGACACGTCGCCGATGGAATTCTCGAGCTGCGACGACATCTTGCGGAACGCCGCCGTGGGGATGATGCTGAAGACGCGCTTCATGAGGCCGTTGGCGCGGCACTTCATGACAAGCGACAGGGCCTTGTCGAGCACGAGCTCCGTGTCGGCGATGATGCGCCGCGTCGGACGCTCGTAGAGGTCGGAGCTCGCACGTGCGGCCTGTCGGAGAAGCCCCGCGAGCTTGTCGGTCTTCGATTTGAGCTCCAAACACTCGTGCTTGAACGAGGAACTCGCTTCTTCCGCCGCCTTCGCCACCTGGTCCGCCAATTGGATCGGCTTCGCCAGCAACTGCTTCACTATCTCCGCCATCCACTCCGATCGCAAACCCCACTTGCCAAAGATTCAGTCTTTCTTGAAATTGAGAGTGATTCAGGAAAAGGGGCTCTGATGGGTGATGCAAAACGGCTGCGCCTTATGATCTCGCTAGTTTCTCTGACTGAATGCGTCCGGTTTATGAATCCGTGATGGTGCGAAAGTTGAGGGCATGATTGTACAAAGAAATATTGTGATTTTGTGAGAGAGGGTGTTGTTGCTGCTGTCGACGGGATTTACAAGATCAACGCGTTTTCTTCATATTATATAAACTTGGCGTCTCAACTGTAAAGTGAATATGACAAGAAAAAAGGGAATTTTTTATTTTTTGTTACAAAAAAAAGGGATTATTTAAGAATAAGCAAGGGTTTATTTTTGTTTTAAGAATAAGAAGAGAGAGGGGGAATTAAGATTTAAGAATAGAGTACGGCTTTTCGTTTTCGGACATTGATTTCTTGATAGGCAAAAGGGAGGAGAAAGGAAAAATATCTCTGAGGGGTTAAGATTTTCCTAATTGCATAAAAGGAAGATAATCAAATTAAAATGGAAGGTTTTTCGATTTGGAATTTGGAAAGGTGTTAATTTGACGCAATGGTGATTTGCTTGAATGGAAAAGCAATAAGACTGTTATCACGTTGGGTCACTTTGGATTTAGAACTATAGTGTGTGTCCAAATTAATAAAAGGTTTTGGATTGAGTTTGGTTTAATTTTCTTAAAAGTTTTCAGGTTACTTTAATCAAATTAATTTGATTATATTTAAGTGATTTCGAATCGATATTTGGACTGCATATATTTACAATAAAAATAAACAAATCAGAAAACAGAATGAAATTTATAAATTTATCATCTAATATATTGCTTTAAGATGCTTAATTTATAAAATGTATTTTATGCTTGTACATTTTAATTTATTACTAAGGAGTATTTCTTTGTCGTAACTAATCTCCTTTTAAAAAATAAAAATAAAAATAGCACGCATAGCGAGTAGGTAAACCTCCCTTTCAAGGTTTTTTCTACTCGTAAATTCATTTATACAACTCGAGTTTTAATTTTTTTTTTTTCTAACTCACTGTCTATATTTTTTTCTTCTCTCGTGTAAGTTTGACTTTTGCTCATTATCATTGAAATTAGAAGAGTTTTGTCTCATTTTCTTTACTTCTACATCACCTTTCTATTTTCATTTAATTTTAAATTATAATAAAAGACAAACATTATTAATACATCAGAATTTTCTTATCCATACAAAAATTTAAATTTATTCTTATATAATGTTGTTCATGTCATTTATTTATTTAAAATAATTAAAAGTTTCTTAAAATTAGAAGAAATAAATAATTTCTCATTTAATACAATAAATGTCTTTATGTAAAATAATTATGTGTCTTTTACTTTTTAAGTGTTTTTAATTATTCAAGTATAGCAGCTGTATAATTTTAGTTTTTTATTGAACAATTTTAATCCTTCAAGTATCATAGTTGTATAATTTTGATTTCTAAATTTTTAATTAAATAATTATTGTTCCTCAAGTATTATAATTTTATGTACTTTTAGTCTCTTAAGTATCGTAATTATACAAATTTTTACCTATTTAAGTTACATATATTAGTAATTTTAGTACTAATAAATAGATATCATTTAACACGTGAATGAAAATCATAATATATGTAACTTAAATAGGTCAAAAATTGTATAATTATGAAATTTGAGAGACTAAAATTATACAATTGTGATACTTAAAAGACTAAATTGTTTAATTAAAATTTAGAAAACCAAAATCGTATAATCCCAATACTTGAAAGACTAAAATTAATCAATTAAAACTTTAAGGACCAAAATCACACAATTACAATACTAACATAAAAATACAATTAAGCCTATTTTTTAAATAATAAATAATTAATAAATTAAAACTTTGCCTCGTATTTTAAATGTTTTTATTCAAATTCCAAATTACATTATCTTTGATTTTTTCTTAAAAGTGTCAATATAAAGTCATCATATGAGTTAAAATGCTAGCATAAAACCATTTTATGAAACACAAAAGATAATAAACATTAATAACTTGTAAAATTAAGTGCAACAACTATAAATAAAGAAAAATACTTATTCTAAGTTCTAAGCATATTCAGCTGCTAAACATAATATCTTATCATATATATATATAGAGAGAGAGAAAGAGGAGGGTTCAAACGACATCGGTATAACTTTTACTATGTGTTACACCGCTCAATAACTTTATATTAAATGTAAATTTTGAAAATCCAACCATTAGATTGAAAGTTTATATCTCTTAGATCATATATGTCAAATACCAGACATAGGTGTGTCAAGCACAACATAAAGTGCAACATAAGGATTCAGACGAAGGTTAGTTAAGAATCAAACAAAAGTCAACTACATATCAGACGAAGGACAGCACAGACTGAAAAGCATTATAGACGGAAATGAAGTCTGTCCATCTATAAGATTGACCAGACCAAAGGAAGTCAAAGCATTAATGACAAATGTTCAAACGAAGATCAAGTCTTATGATGCAGATGGACTACCAGATGCAGACGAAGACTGTCGTGTAAGCATTTGAAGAATCAAGTCTCAAGGGATAATTCAGGCATCGTCTACAATCATACAATAAGCTCTCAATATGATCGCGTGCTGGAAGGAAAAGAAGAAGAAGAAGAAATGCAAGCCCAAAAGCCAAAGCATGCGTGTGTTATAAAAAGTACATTACTTTTTCAGATAAAGACAATGCCTCTGCTGCTACGATGACCGAAAAAGGACAAGAAATTCCTAGGTCATAGTTAAAGTCAGACACTACAGTTAAAACTTAGAAGACTTCACACAATGCCTATAAACAGGAAGCAACAGTTAATGCAAAATCAAGTGCATTAAATGAGAAATCAAACTAGTCATGAACAACTACATTTTGCTTCAACGGATACTTGCAACAGCCAGATTTTACAGAGGCTATAAACATGTCATGACTCCAAACCTGGAACGGCTGGAAAAAAGTGATTCCAAGCCCAAGAAGAAACAAAACCAAAGACAGAGCATACATAGTCAAATGTACAATATTGTATTTATCTCTGTAGACTAAGGAGTTCTAAGTGTAACTTAGGAACATAAATCTTAGTGAGTGTAGTAAATCTTTGTATCCTCTTTGTGAGAGTAAACCACACACTCAAAATAAATTATCTATCATTTGTAAAGCCTGAAGAGTAGGGAAAGAATACTTGTATAAGCCTGAAGAGGCTAAACAAAGAATACAAGCGCCAATGAGTGAAGTTGGCAAACCAGGAGTGGTTGAGAATACTCACTGAGAGCCTGAAGAGACTGAACAAAGAATACTAGCGCCAATGAGTGAAGTTAGCGAACCAGGAGTGGTTGATAATACTCGGGAACCAGGAGTGGTTGAGAATACTCACTGAGAGCTTGAAGAGGCAGAAACCAGAAGTGGTGATAATACTTGTACTTAATTGAAAATCTAGTGGTACCCTTCAATTGAAGGAGACTGGACGTAGCTCAGTCTGAGCGAACCAGTATAAAACTCTTTGCACCATTTTACTCTTCTTAGACACAAATTTATTTATTTGGTATTTCATACTAAAAATCTTACTCGTTGCTTATTTCACACTACAACAACTTTCAGACGGAAAAACATCTCTTGTTTAACTTATTATTGCAAGAAACACTCTCGTGCAGACGATAAAACTTGTAGACACAAAACTCTTTTAAATGTTATATTAAAAGTACACGTGAGATGTATCTTGAGTTTGAAAACGTCAGTATGAAACATGAAAAAGCCTTTTTTGCAAAAATAATTTCTTTAAACCTTCACACACACATATTCAACCCCCGTCTATGTGTTTTTCCTCTAACTTCATTCAATTGATTATTGTTTAGTTAATATGTGATACTTTCTTGTTGGACAACTTGATTTTCATTAATGATAGATTCCTTTGATTTATTTTTACTTATTGTATTAGTCATTGTATATTGGATAGAGGGTGTTACATTTAGTTGTATTAAAGCCAGGTTGACTCAAACCAGATATGTGTGGTATGTGTCTTATCTATGTGTTTCATGTGTTGTCTTATAATGTTTGTGTTGTATCTTGTAATTATTTGTAGTTTATGTGTTTTTTTGTTGTGTATCAGTAATAGGAGTGGTAGGAATGGCCATGTTGTCATTAACATTCTTTAAGCATCAATGCAAGGGATTGAGACTTATAGGGTTGATGTTGCACCTAGTTGGCCGAAGAGGTTTCATCATCATCATTATTTCTCCTTCATGGGATGTTGGAGAGAAAGATACATACTAGAAGGAGGTTTGAATAATGTATATCAAAAACTCACATTTTTACAGTGAGGTAATGAAAAGCGTAAACAGATGAAGTATTGGAAGGTAATCAGACGAAGTGGTAAAAGAGATGAAATGGCACAAGTATTTTTATACCGGTTCGTCTCCAACTCAGAGACTACGTCCAATTCTCAATCTAACTAGATTGAGTTCCATTATCTTCAACAAGATACAAGTATTCTTTACCAAGCCACTTTTGGCTAAAACCAAGAATTCTTTCAACAAGCCTCTCTAGGCTGTATTCTTTAAACAAGCCTCTTCAAGCTTAACTACTAAGTATTCTTTTAAACATGATAGAATCATGCCAAGGAGGTCAAGAGGTGACACCTTGAAGGACCCAAGAAGAATGGGCTAGTCATGAAGATTTAGGCTAGTTTAGAGCCCGGTGGGCTTGACGAACCCAAGTTTCTCCTCACATGAGCCATACCTTGAGATTTTCATTGCCTTTATTTGTATATATAATATTAGTATAGGTTTCATATATTTTGGTCTTGTATTTTGGACCACATAGATTAGGATTTTTAAGCCATAAGCTAATTGGGCCTATTTTTGGACTTAATGGGCTCATTTTGCTTTTTTTTATATTTATTTCTTAGTGTTTGTGATAGGTTAGCCATTGTATTTAGGCCATTAGATTAGGATTTGAGACGAAAAGCTTGATTAGGAAAAGTTGGCAAGTTTAGATTACATTTAGGCTTAATTTGAGATGCATTTGGTGCACATATGCTAACCTAAGGTTGGTTGCACATGATCAGCCCCTAAGTATCTTCAAATTAACTTTAAATGTAATCTAAATGAAATTGAAGCTGCACATGGAAGTATCATGTGGCTACCAAATTTTGAAATTCAAATTTTCGGCGCCTAAAGCTACTACATGGAGTTGGTGCCAATTGTTTCCTCCTTTGGACTATAAATTGAGCTCACCTCCCGCATTTGAATCACTTTTGAATATATGAGAAATCTAAACCATTGCTTT